AAAACAGTTAATAAAAACAGCATAATATACATCAACTAATCAAACATGATAATAAATTTTCATTTTCAAAACAGTTAACACAATGATTTATTGAAAAACTAACAAACATTTTAAAGTACCAAAGAATAAAAAAACACACATGATCATTCATATTTTTTTTCATTTAGCTTCTTTGAAGCAAAAACAATGACTTAAAACAAGGGTTTTTGTTAATAAATAAATAATAAAAAAAATTCCATGTAGGGATTATGTTAGTCTACAAAAAATTAAATATATATATATATACATTAACTCTAGTGTTTTTGTTAAAACAAAATTTAAAAATATGAATTCCATGTAGGATTTCAGTTATTCAAGAAACAATTAACTATAAACACAATATCGATCAATGGTTGCAATTAATCAAAAACAGTTTAAACAAATAAACTCATACCTAAGGTTTTGGTTAGTAAGAGAGCACCACCACCAGCATCTCTGATTTGAAGGATAGATAAAACACCTCACAAAGTATCAAAGAGAGAGAGAGATTGGAAAGAGATGGAAGTTGAGAATGTGTGATGAGAGGGTAATTTGTAAACAAATTGGGCCAAGCTAGGAAAAGTCTTCTTTGGAAGTTGGGCCGCGCAATGGGCCGAGATAAGGGTTGGTATAGCTCGGTCTTAGGCCAAGAAGACATCTCATATTTCGAATTTGGGCCGAACTATGGCCGAGGTGTTTGGGCTTCGCAAGTTGGACCTCGTCCTTGTTAGTTCGGTCGGAGACTGCTGCAGTTAGCTCGGTCTAAACAGACAAAACCGAGGTAGCATCAATGGCGAGGGCCGAACTGTGTATAGCTCGGTAGGGTGGCATTTGATAGATCGTCTTTCGATCACACGGTTCGAATGGCAGGGGACCGAGATAAGGCAGTTCGGTTAGGAATGTATAACCGAGGTAAAGGGTTCAGCTATCTCACTCGGCTTGCAGTGATGAGACTCTTAGGAGGACTCTGCTAAGGAGAGTAGAGTCCTACTGGGATTGTGCAAACCATCTCACTTGGTTAGTAGTGAATAGGAGTATGATTCCTAGGAGAACACTGCTAAGGAGAGTACAATCCTACTAGGATTGTGCAAATCATCTCACTTGGTTGATAGTGAGTAGAGTGTGTAATTCCTAGGAGGATTCTTATAAGGAGAGTTGGAATCCTACTAGGAATGGCCAAGTGTCACGGGTTGCCTTGCAAGGCCAACTCCGTGACATTTCGCTCGCGGTGGTGTGGCCATTTGAGTGCTCAAGAGTGGCCGTTAGAAGTGCCCCAACGTGGCCCAACATTGGCCCCAAGTAGCCCAAGGCATGTATGCCACCAATAGCCAACACAAGACAAAGCCACAGCCCATATAAGTCATTATGACTCCTCAGACATGTATGATGTTTCCTCCTGCCAGATGAAGAAGGGCTTAACAAGCTACTATAAGGGGGTATGGTGTGCTGCCTACCAACCTCCCCGTCCAAACTGGACTTGAAGTGAGCAACCTTGGGGCAACTCAAGGGCGGGCTGTAGGCATCCAGAGGGGTGTCTAGAGTCTCCATGTGGGTTTGGGAGCCCCGTGGACGGTGCGAAGATGTAGGCACTGCGCGTGTCCTCCCGAGGAGAGGTCCTCTATGTTGTTTCCACTATGCCACGCAATATGGTATCTTTGGGACTCGTCTTGGACCGAATGGGCTATCGAGGCACCACTAGAGGCCTCGTGTGCCAACTCTAGTGCTTGGTTTGGGTTCGACCTTGCACGAGGGGATCCCGTGGCTTAAGCTAAGCGGTTGGAAGGCGACGCCGCATATGTGGGCTATCGAATGAAGGCATCAAGCCATGCAACGACTACGTCCACTGAGGGACTACATTATGCTACGAGCAAGATACGGATTGAGACGTCGCCGTACTCATGCTACATGTTGGTGCAACGCTAAGGTGCGCAATGGCCTTAGGCGGAATCTAGCACGCGTGTTGGCACGAGGACTACGCCGTGGGCAAGAGATTGGCCCTCGGTGGCTTGTGGGCTTCGCATGACCAAGCGGCCATCCAATATGCATCTATTGAGGCATGCTAGACCCTGCGACACTTCGAGACGCTACTAAAGACCCTACGTGCAACGTTGGCTTGTCAGCTAAGTTGAGGACCTTCGCTAGCACATTGTTGTGTGGCTAGGCGCCTTGATGACATAAACCTAAGTTGGGCGAGCACCTTGCTAGAAGTAAGCTTGGCGCTATGAAGCGACTTATGCCGTGCTTGGTACACTTGAGGCGTCAGGCCTACCTGTGGCATCCGGGTGAAGACGGAGCTTCTTTGTGAAGTTGTTTTGCTTGACACAGCATTGGGACCTAATGTTCAAACGGGTGAGATCATCAACACTCGATTTGTCAACGAGCAATGGCGGGCTTAAACTTGGTGGAGTTTGAGCGCCACACGTATGATTCCTAGGAGAACACTGCTAAGGAGAGTACAATCCTACTAGGATTGTGCAAACCATCTCACTTGGTTGGTAGTGAGTAGAGTGTGTAATTCCTAGGAGGATTCTTATAAGGAGAGTTGGAATCCTACTAGGAATGGCCAAGCCAAGTCTATAAAAGCTCATAGCAGGACCTATGGAGACGTATCACAATCACAATGACAATCCCAATTCTTACTCTAGAATACATAGAGCTTATTATTTATTGTCTAGTTGCTGACTTAGGCATCAGAGGGGTTTCCGGCACACACCCGCCGGCTAGCTCACAATTGTGTTTTCAGGAAGTAAAGCGACGACGTTTATAGGAGCGCAAACTTGATTAACAGGATCATACGAGAAGAATTATTTCGTGCTCGTACATGTGATCAAAGATGTAAAAAGATATATAATGAGGGAAGAGATTGGTTTACGTTATAGAGAGAATGAGAGAGAGAAATACGGGATTGGTTTACGTTATATAGAGAGAAAGAGAGAGTGACAGAGAGAAATATGGGAGAGAGAGAAATATGGAGAAGAGGAGAGGAGAGGAGATGATATGATAGGTCTGCTGCTGGACAACTTTTTTGCTTTGAAAGTTGAAAATTGAAATACATCATCATCATCCTAGAAAGCTTCCACAAGAAGCTTTGCACTTCTCCCAATAATAAAACAACTATACAAATATAAAAAAATTGTAACAGCTGCATGCTTGTGTTGTTTAATTCGGTCGGGTCAGTTTCGACTGAAATAATTTACATAAAATCGTTGCCGACCGTGAAACCGCAAAATTCAACCAAATGAAACCGCATCCGACCAATTGAATATTCGAAACCGTCCATTTTACTTCGGTTCGGTTCGGTTCGGTTCAGGTTGGGCGGGTGGGTCGGATTCTGGTTTTTCATGAACACCCCTAATGTCATGTGTGGTGACCGTTCAATCACTAAAGCCAAGTGAGTGGTGGCCAAATTTCATTGGAACTTACATATGTTGGCGGTGGTAATGGTAGTTCAATCACTAAAGCCAAGTGAGTGGTGGCCAAATTTCATTGGAACTTACTATGTTGGCGGTGGTAATGGTAGCAGTGGGTGATTGGAAAGGAAAGAGAAAGTGAAAACTTATGTTGAAAATAAGTGAAAACCCATTTTTTTCACTTTAAAATTTTTTAAAATTAATTCTATTTTATTTTTTAAAGAAAAAACAGTATATGAAATAAGTTTTCATTTTCAATTGAAAAAAAAGTATATATTAAAAAAATGAAAGGTTACCAAACATAGACTTGGTAATTTTTAAGGTGGAATTTCAAAATACAAAAATGTTAGAGATCCCAAAAATTCTACCAAAAGTTTTACCAAATGTCTCACATGGGTGTGGGACCCACATGGGACCCACATTGTGTAGGTCCCACACCCATGTGAGACATTTGGTAAAATTTTTGGTAGAATATTTGGGATCTCTAGCATTACTCTTCAAAATAATGGAACAGACAAAAAAAAAAAAATTATAAAAACATGTGAGGTGCAAGTGATTTTATGATGGGGGAGCAAGTGAAAGGTTGTGAGGGTAAATGTAACTTGTACTCCTCTATATTTGTATAATTTTTTTTCTTTCTTCCATTAATATGTAATTCCTCCTATTTTTAATGGCAAAAAAATCAGTCAAAACCTATTTCAATGTCAAAAGTACATGTTCAAAAGAATTAAAACCTTTTTCCAAAATCTTGTCTGCAACCCACCTCCAGTACCTTCCAAAAATTAGTTCTGTTTGTTTTCACTCCCAAAATCTTAATATGAATATATTTTTTTCAAGCTTTTCAAAAGCTACTTCATCTTGGGAGGGGAAATTATTATGTCCCTTTCCTCTTCTTAATTATCAAAGCTCTTTATAATTTAATTTAAAAGCAACTAAAAGTTGATTCCGAACATATTTTGAATAAAATGTTTTCCTAGTTATTTATGTTGCAGATTAATTTATTGGCCATCATTCTGTTGGTTGACCAGTCGAACATGTATGAAATGACCAAATTACCTTCACTCCAACCGAGCAGTACTTCTCATGATTCCTGGGATTGGTATAGAAATGTAAAGGTCTGCACTGTATGCTGTCCTGTGCTTTAAATATAGTGTGCTTCTATCTGGTGTTTAATGTAGATAAAAGTAAATAAAGTAATTTGGAGTGTGAAGACATTTGCTTTGTTAAAGTTGGGATTACCAACCAACTTGAACTAGATAAGAGTAACGAGTAGAGGGTGGCCTGTTTCTGGAAGCAAAACTTTTGCTTTGGGGGCTTGCTTTTTTGCTTTTCAGTTTTTTCATGATCTCAATTCAATTCAAGATTTTTATCTCTGCCACTGGCATTTCCATTGGTGGGCGGCCAATGCTAAAGTCACTTCTTCATGGCATCCTTAATAGAGAAAAAAGAAAAGTGAATGAAATAAAAATCAAATTTTGTCATCTTTGGCTCTCTGTCTCTCCCTTTTTTTTTCCTCAAACACTTGACACCAAGGAGTTAAGGTCTTGAAATATTAAAATTGTGTTTGAACTTTTAATTTATGGAGGGAAAAGAAAAATAGAGGGAAAGTTGGAGCATTACTAAAATTCATATACATTCTTCATGTTGCTGCATTGTAGAAATTACAAAATATAACTTTGGACTGAACCCAAATGCAGCAAAGCATATTCAAACCCACAAAACATTGTTTTACAACATTTAGCACTTCTCCTAAAAACACAACAAAAATGCTTGACTCGAGTTCGTGCTGACAAAACAAGAACTTTTCCAAGCACATCATGTTCCTCAATCTTCCAGCAACACTGTCCACACTTGGATCGATGGAACTAGATTGACTCATGTTAGCCTTCACTTCACTTTCAGTTGTTCGAATCAACTCCACATCATGCCCATTGCCTCTATGTCTCTGCCTTAGTCTCCCTGCAACACTATATGGGGCTGGTTCAGGGGTACGAGACTTCCTTTTCGACCTTGGGCTGATTTCTTTTGTAATAATGTAATCACCATGTTTACAATCCAAAAAATTCAATTTCTCCTCTTTCTTGCCTTTGAACTTTTCATCCCTTTCGTTGCCTTCAGATTCAAGCTTTGATAGTTCCTGGTGGTGGTCACCAGACTCGGAGGTAAGTGCAGACTTTTTATTGGGATCTTGGCTAATTCCAGATGCGATATTGTTTACACCATGTTTGTTCTCCGAAAAATGAATTTCCTCCATTCCCTCATCTTTAAACTCGTCATTTGTCTTGTTGTCTTCACATTTGGGGGTTACCAATCTGTGATGGTCATATTGTTGGTCATAATATCGGGTGTTTTGTTTGCATCAGTCTGCAATTGTCGGATTTGAATGAGATAATGTACAACCGACTTGAAGCCCAGTTGAGAAATCAGGAAAGTGGACAGATTGAGCTTAGCTCCAATTGCACAAAGAAAAACACGTAAAATCCTATTAGGAATGGTTACTAAAAGTTACCTTCGTACAGAGTGCTAGTGGGAGGCCATCCTTTTGCACGCTGGCAAGAACTGCAGTTGCAAATTTCACGACAAACAGGGAAAATTCAGTTTGGATCAAGGTTTTAAAAAGCGGCCGCAACCGTTACGTAACGCCGTTACGTAACAGTTTTGGCGGTTGCCGCCACCCGTTACGGCCGCTTTTGCAGTGTGATTGAGATTCACAGGTGTGTCGGCCGTAGCGGCTGCCGTAGCGGTCGTAACGGTGCCGTAACAGCCGTAACGGCCTGTTACACACCGTTACGTAACGGTTCCAAACTGTTTGTTTCGAAAAAACACACAAAAAAAAGCTAAAAATGGGGAAAGAGGGATAGAGAGGAGAGAAGATAAAGAGAGAATGGAGGAGCAAGAGATAGAGAGGGAAGAGGGAAGATGAAGGACATGTTATTGATTTGTTGAAGTTGTAAGACCTATGCTATTCTATTCCGCTGCTATTACTAAACTATTTTGTTTGTGTGTGTCTATCTATATATTATTTGAAAATAATAATAATAATAAGTGTGGTCATTATCTATTTGGCTTGGTTAAAATATGTATATATATATTTACGCTTTTATTTATTCTCTTACTTTTGTTATTGTTTATCTTATATATAATAGTTAGTGATTGATTTTTTGTATAATATAAAGTTATTAATTATTAAAATAAAATGTAAAAAACTCAATTTATAGTGATTTAAAAATATGAAATATATTGGATTATACTTAAAAATTTACAAAAATTGACCAATATTTATTTTTAACCCAATAAACATGATTATGGAAAAAAAATATGCGTATCGGTAAGTTTTTTTCAAATTGTGCGAAAAATAAAAAAATTCACGGTTCCGGTTACCGCAACCGTTACACTACGGCCTTTACACCCCGCAACCGCAACCGCGTCACCACCACCGTTACGACGACCGCAACCGCTTTTCAGAACCTTGGTTTGGATTCTATTTTGCTTCACGCACATGCTCCCCATATCTGCACAAAGTCAATCTCCAAGGGTCGATTTGGATAGATGTGGATTTGAAAGGGAATTGACGATAACTCAAACCAAAGAACGAAAAATGTAGCAATTGGCTTTGATTGACTGACCATAGCTTGCGGCCTAGATTAGGTTTGTGGAACCTAGGCTTTCATCTATATCTATCAACTGCTTTCATTAACGGCAGAAAGCATTCCCATAAATTTTTAACTAGTATTGAAACTCTGTATCCAATTTTGTAGGGAGTAACAAATATTTGGATATTTACAAACTCTGTTTATATAAAAGAATAGCGAAAAAAATTATTGAGGTTAATGATAGGGAGATTAACATAATATACCATGCATACAAACAATCTCCACATAACTGTTCTGGGATCATGCCACACTTGCTGCAGTGTGTACAATGACCAATGGTTTTCTGGCCGCAACACAACATGGTCATTAAATGAATTGTGCAACAGTTAATAGCTATGTCTTCTCAGAGGTAAAAGCAAACGAGGAATATAAATCAAGTAAGTACTTAGAATGAATGCTGAAGCCATGTAGCCAGATGATTCAGCAATGTAACTTTTTTTTTAGGCTGTGTTTGGATAATGTAGTTGAGTAGGAATTTGGAAAGAAAAAAGAAAATATGAATGAAATATAAGTTAAATTTTTTCTCCTTTTCCCTCGCCTTTTCTTTTCCCTTTCTAAATCTCTACTAAAATTCATGAACCAAACACAGCCTCAGGATTCACCTTCAATTTTTATCTCCTAATACCAGAATGCATATAATTTAAGAGAATGAGAAATACAAAGATACCTATCCTAAATTATTTGATCTCACAATACTGACATATTACTTTCAAGTGACTTTCCACATTAAGACAAATATTTGCTTAGTATTAATCTGCACCAAATTCAGATATATCAAAATGGGGAACATAGAGTGTTATAAGAATGGATTTGTAGTTAGCTCACTTACCTCTAATAATACCTCCATTAATTTTTTTTTCTTCTTCTCAAAAGACCCTAACCACGATTGTAACAGGTACTAAGCTAAGATCTAAAGTGACTCTTCACCAAGTAAAATAACATATTCATTGTTTTCTTTCCAAAATTTTCAGAAAAAAAAATCAAATAGAGCCCAGAGAATGGTAAAAAGAACTATTTTTTATTGTTGTTTTTCCTTTTAAAAGAAAACACAAGCTTAAACGGAATTCGTGAGTAGTTTTGTGAAGTGACTATGAATGGCCTATTTGTAATTGAACATTAAAACGTAACATTCACCAAAGACAGCATGTACATTTTTAAGCAAGGCCTTTCAATGATTGCATATATATGTAACTATAGGAAAGAAAGGTACTTTTTTTTTCCCTTCTCCCTCTAATGATCATTTATGGATTTGTGAGTAAAACCACACCTGCATTGACGACAAGTCTTTCCCTTGAGTGGATCATAGATTTTCCTCCCATCCAGTCCGTAACCATCCACAAAAAGAGTCCAACTCGTGTCAGTGTTACCCAACAGCTTTTCATGTTTTTCCGTGTAAATCTCTGGAGTTGGACATTCTCTTACACTTTGTTAGATTGAAGGATTTGGGAAGTGGTTTTTAGAAAGGGAAAGAGATTCACACACCATTTCCATTTCCATTTCCATTTCCAAAATCTCTCCCCAAATTCCTCAACCAAACACACTCCAAATTCCCCAACTAAAACACAGCATTAAAAAATCATGCTCACCTTCAAAGATGTATCCTTTTTTCTGTGCTTCAACTCAGAATAGCTAACTGGAGTCGCATTTTGCAACCTACATTCACACCAAAATGGAGGAGGGTGGGGAATAATACACAATTTCATCAAATTCATGTAATCAGAACCTAAAATTCATTCTTAGTAAAAAAATACAAGAAACCGTAGAAATGTTATGGACCTAAAACACCTCAATAATTGTCAAATCCCAAATTTTCATCTTATACTTCTCTATTAACAGAACATCATCAACTCAGAAACCCATTTCTCAGCCCAAGAAAAACAAGAAATGTATTAAACATTAAGGCCTACAAACACTCCATGGAAACTGTTGTGTAAAATCGTGGTTTCGATCACACAATAAACTAATGGAACAAGCATGCACAGAAAAATAAGAACTCAAGATATACAGTGGTTCGGCGTG